CCAGGAGAGCCCCAGCAAGCTGAGTGAGCCCGACCAGTTTGTGCTGCAGGTAACGCGGCCCACAGCACACGAGGGCCTGGGGGTCCCAGGAGCAGCAGTGTCCGTGGGACGGTCCTGCCGAGACGTCTGCCAGCAGGAGGGGAGAGGTCACATGGCTTTTGCCCCCAAACACTCAAGCCCATGTTGTGACCGTGCGGTATGGTGTAGCTGTGAGGTTCTTTGCATTGTGTTGTCCAGTCTCCGACGGATATCAGTTTCAGTCAGTCTCGGTCCACGGCAGTGAGAACGTAAGAACTGCCGTTTACTGGGTCAGACCATACATCTGTCATGCCACGTCTCCTGTGTCTCACAGTGGCAGAGAGTGGAGGCTGAACGGGAGAGTGAACTGGGTCTGACCAGGGTTTTTTCCACTGTTCCTTTCTCCCTTGCAGCCTCCAGCATTTACGGTCCTGGAAGTTCTGATGCAGAGGCCATGCCCTCACGCCCATGCTCAGTTGTGACCGATGCCCCTTTCCTCCAAGCATGTGTCCAGTCCCTTGTGAATCTGGCTGAACTCTCAGCTCCCACCACATCTGGTGGCCACGAATTCCACCCTTTAATGCCACACTGGGTGAAAACGAACTTGCTTGTCTTAGTTTTACGCTTACTGCCTGCTAGTTTCATGTTGTGACCCCCCTACTTGTATTGAGAGACAGTGGGCGCATCTACACGTTCAGTAGATTTCATAGACATTAGGGCTGGAAGGGACCTCATAAGATCATCAGTTCCAGCCCTGTGCCCAAAGGGCAGGAAGTCAGCTACGGTCAAAGGATCCCAGCAAGATAAGCATCCACATGTTTCTTAAAAGTGCCCAGAGTAGGTGCTTGCATCACCTCTTGGGGGAGTCTGGTCCAGGCCTTGGGGGCTCGGACAGTGAAGAAAGTTTTTCCTTATGTAAGGAAATGTGTCATGTGTCATAATTGTGGTGCATTACAGGCAATTACAGGTACTAAATTTAATGCGCTGTAATTGGCACTACTGTGCAGTAGCACTGGTGCATGTGCTTTTGTGATGCTAATGTGCAGTAGACTAATTCTACTGGGCATTAGCACATTAGCACTGTTTTTGCCTGCTGTGCTAATGTGCAGTAGAGTTACTCTACTGTGCTCCTAGCGTGTTGTATAGACGTGTCCAGTAAGTAGTAAATCCCTATTTACGTTCTCTTATCGTGTCCCCACCTCAAGTGTCTCTTTTCTTAACAGAATAGACCTGGCCTCTTTAGTCTCTTGTCATACAGAAGCCCTTCCATACCACTAATCATCCTTGTTGCCCTTCTCTGAACCATCTCTAGTTCTTCTCTATCGTGGTTGAGGTGTAAGGACCAGAACTGGGCAGTCTTCAAGGCGTGGATGCACCATGGATTTATAAAGGGGCATGACAGTACTTTCCATTGTGTTCACAGTTCCCTTCTTAATCATCCTTCATGTTTTGCTTGCCTTTTTGATGGCTGATGAGCACTGAACCAATGTCCACAGCTGAGAGTTAAGGGGCTGCTGAACAGCAAGTGCAGTGCTTCCCAGTCCCTGCACTGTGCTACCTGCATGCAGCTGCCAGGAGGGGGAGCGTTTCTGGGAATGCTGCAGGGGGTCGAGGCCAGCCGATGGGGCCCGCAGTCACATCTTGCTCCCTTTGCTCTCAGATGCTGTCAGTGCCAGAGTACAAAACCCGGCTCCGCAGCCTTCACTTCAAGACCACACTGCAGGAGAAGACGGAGGAGATCAAAGCCAGCTATGACTGCGTCTGCAAGGCCTCCCTGGAGCTGAAAAGCAGCAAGAAACTGGCAAAAATCCTAGAGGTAAGAATATTCCTTATTTCCGCTCACAGCCGCTGGGGGGCATGCCGTCTCCACCAGAACAGCCGAGCGCCTGCCTCTCAGTCCCCGGCTCCTTCTCTTCTCGCAGGGGTCTGTGCTGGCAATACCCTGAGGCCTGCCATGACAGCAGTCAGACACATAGATTGTAGAATCGGAAGGGACCACAATGGATCGTGTCCGACCCCCTGTCCCGGCAGGGAAGAGGACTGAGGTCAGACAACCCCAGCCAGGTGTCTATTAAGCCTCCTCTTGAAGACCTCCGAGTCAGGTGATAGCACCACCTCTCTTGGAAGCCCATTCCAGATTTTGGCCACCCTTACTGTAAGCAGTGTCTTCGTAATGTCTAACCTGAATCTACTCGCCACTAGTTTGCACCCGTTATTCCTAGTTACTTCCAGGGGTGCTCTGGCAAATAGCGCATCTCCAATTCCCTGTTGTCCCCCCTTGATAAACTTATCGGTGGCTACAAGGTCTCCCCTCAGACGTCTCTTGTGGAGGCTGAAGAGATCCAGATCCCGCAACCTCCCCTTGTAGGGTCTTTCACGGAGGCCACTAATCATGCGAGTGGCCCTCCTCTGAACCCTCTCCAGATTCTCCACGTCCCTCGAAGTCCAGCGCCCAAAACTGGGCACAGTACTCCAACTGCAGCCTGACCAATGCCACAGAGGGGGAGCATCACTTCCCTCGATCTGTTGGTCATGCATCTGCTAATGCACGACAAGGTGCGATTGGCCTTGATGGCCTCGTTGCACTGCCGGCTCATGTTCCTCTTGGAGTCAGCTATGACTCCAAGATCCCTCTCAGTCGCTGAGCTGGTCATCCCCCAACCTATAGGTAGGTGTGCTGGGGATTCCTCCTCCCCAGGTGGAGTACCTTGCATTTCTCTTTGTTGAATTGCATCCTGTTTTGTTCTGCTGATCGGTACTGCTCACCTGTGCAGTACTGGGAACGCTGAGTCCAGGGATCCTCTGCTCTGGCAGGCACCTGGGATATGGGCAGGGAAGTCCATCAGCAGAGTAGTCATGTTGAATCCATTGATTTGATGCAGAAATCCTGCTTCCACTCAACCTCCCTGCTCCTCCCTTTTCAGTTACTCAGAACTTTCTCTTGTAGTCACTTGTTGTTTGTAGGTCGGTACTGCTCACCTGTGCAGTTACTGTAAACTTGGACCAGCCCTGAACTTTGTAAGGTCCAGTCTGCTGGAGGGGATTCTGCTCCGATTGCCCGCAGGGGTGTCTGCTGCAGGCTTCTTCCTTTTCCTCCTAGGAAGATGAAGCTGCCCTGTGAATAGCAGCTTGCATGGGACTGGCGCACCCCGAGTGAAGCCGCAGGGGCTGTAGTGCCCACCTAGCTCATGTTCAGGGCTGGTCCTGGTAGTAGAAACTGGCAGATGTGGGCTGCCTCCCTCTAGGCTTCACTGACCTGCTGCAGTTCTTCCTTGTCACCTGTAACTCCGGAGATGAAAGGCTGCATCTCCCTGTGGCCGACTGGGCCCTAGTGTTTGCAGCTCTTTGTAGCAGCATCTGGGGCTCCAGCTCAGCCCTTGCTGGGATGCGCTTAGAGCAGAAATACAGGCAGAGTGACACATCCTCAAGCTCAGTCCTAGCTACTCCCAGGCTAGACACCTTGCAGAGACAGAGTCCTCCTACTCTTGCTGCT